CATGTTGCCATCGAACAGCAAGGGTCGCTACAAGCTGCTCAGAACGGTTCAAAGACGTTCTACCCTGAGCCATATAATTTTCAATATCTCCCAGCCATGACGTGGATGTCGACGCAACCTGTGCTTTCGCAAGGCATGCCCGTGGCGTGCTTTTCACTGGCTGGACCACGACCGGACGAGAAACAGTTTTCGTGTCAACGTGCTCGTTGCCTGCCGTTGCATGGTCGCTGCCTGGAATACGTGTCAAATTTGATGTCGTTTTTGCAAAATGCTGCCGCCGTCCGAATTCGCCGCTTGCAGGCATCACGTCGCAAACACCAAGAGACGACAAGACAGGAACGATAACTAAAACCGATGCTCGCAACCTGGCATGTCTTTCGATATCTCGGCAGGCGTGGACGGCTCTCTGATCAGGATCGCCGTCGCCAGTTCTGTTCCCATGACATGAAAACTTGTCGCCTCACGATGGTTGCTGTTCGTAGTACAAACACTGGTGTCGCGTGCCGTCATGTTGCGCTGTTGCTGCCGCCGCTGCGCTTCCACGTCATGCCGCCCATGTCCCATTTTGACTATTCACGTCAATGCTTCGATTCCCGAATGGCAGTGAAGTTCAGCTAATCGGTTTTTGCAGCCATCAAGTGCTTGGTGTTGTCCTTTCCGAGGAAGGGTCATCTGCGACGACAACGGTCATGGCCCTTCCAAATGTACCATCCTCTGCAAGTTTAGCGCTTGCGACGGCAACCATTTGCTGCCACGACGGCGGTGTCTTCCAGTGCGATAACAGCGTACTACGGCAACAATATCTGCTGTTGCCATCGTTAAAGTGACAACAGGGGACGAATACCAAAACCAACGAACGGTGCCGTCGCGGCGGCTGTTGCAGCTGTGTCTGTTTCGAATTTTACCAACAGTTGTTACTGTTGCTATTGTTACTCCTACTGCTGCTGCTATTATTACTAGAAGAACTATTGCAAAAACAACCACCACCACCACCACGACGACGACGACTACTACTACGACTACTACTACTCCAACAACAACAATTACTACTACTTCTACGACGGCTGCCATTATTAGTGCCATGTATACTAATGCTGCGATTATTCGTGCCACAACTTTATTTGGCTGCATCCACCACCACGACAATTGCTACTAGTATTATTTTTACATCTATCACCACGACGATTACGGCCATTAATGCCATTTCTCCACCGGTTGAGAGGTTTTTGATAGAGCCAGCACCACAACTTACCTTACCATAACAACAACAACAACTACTACTACTACTACTACTACGACTACTACCACCACCACTACCACCACTACTATTACTACCACTACTACTACTACTACTACTACTACGACTACTACTATTACTACGTTGTTGCCAATAAAACATAGATGTCATCGCCAATGTCCTTCGTATCACCACCCTTGGTGCGATTATGATTATGTACGGTTGTTTCTTTTAATCGTTTTTTTGCTGGTGCTGTTTCCACTACAAAAAAAACTTCTAGTATTATTTGTATGCTTGCCACCACCTCCACGACCACTGCTGCTACGATTTTTGTTGCATACTACTATTGTCACCACTACTATTACTGGTACGCCTACTCCTCCTATTACCGCAACAGCTATTATTAGTATTCGTGCCACTGTTATTACTACGACGACGACTGCTACTGCTACTTCTACTGCAATTTTCACTACTACTGCTACTACTATTACGACGACGACGACGAGTACTATTGTTACGTGTACTACATCCACCAGTAGCACTAGTAGTTCGACGACGATATCGACTGCCCGTACTAGTAGTACTGCGCCTACTGCAGTCGCTGGTATCACCACCATCAATATTATCATAAACAGTACTAGTACCTGTTCTGGTAGTAGTATCAGTAGTAGTAGTAGTAGTTGTTGTTGTTGTTGTTGTTGTTCTTGTTGTAATCGTGCTGCTGGTGGTGGTGATAGTATTGGTAGTAATACTAGCAGTAGTAGCAGGAGTAGTAGTAGTAGTAGTAGTAGTGGTGGTGGTGGTGGTGGTGGTAATTGCAGCAGCAGTAGTAGTAGTGGTGGTGGTGGTGGTAGTGGTGGTGGTAGTAGTAGTCGTAGTAGTAGCAGTAGTAGCAGTACTAGTAGTAGTAGTAGTAGTAGTAGTAGTAGTAGCAGTAGCAGTAGTAGTACGAGTACGAGTACGAGTACGAGTACGAGTACGACTACGACTACGACTACGAGTACGAGTACGAGTACGAGTACTAGTACTAGTACCAGTACTAGTACTAGTACTAGTAGTATTAGTAGTAGTCGTAGTAGTCGTAGTAGTCGTAGTAGTCGTAGTAGTCGTAGTAGTCGTAGTAGTCGTAGTCGTAGTCGTAGTCGTAGTAGTAGTAGTAGTAGTAGTAGTAGTATCAATCGTATCAGTAGTACTAGTAGTAGTGGTGGTGGTCGTGGTAGTGCTAGTGGTAGGAGTAGTCGTTGTCGTCGTCGTAGTAGTAGCAGGAGGAGGAGAAAGAGAAGGACTACTGCGACCACTGCTGCTACCACTGGTGCTGCTACTCGACCTCTGTGGCCAGTAGTATTACCACATTTCGTACGATTATAATCACCACTAGTTCGGGTAGTAGTGGTAGTAGTAGTAGTAGTAGTAGTAGTAGCAGTAGTAGGAGTAGTAGCAGTAGTAGTAGTAGTAGTAGTAGTAGTAGTAGTAGTAATAGTAGTAGTAGCAGAAGTAGTAGTAGAAGTAGTAGCAGCAGTAGTAGTATTGTGATAGTATTGTAATAGCAT